CACTGAAGCTGAAATGGCAAAAATGAGCTAACTGATTATATTACAACTCCAATCAGAAACTCAGAGGTAAGGACCAGACATACTATTTTATTAAAAAAGTTTTTACACACTTATTTTTGAGAGACAGAGAGACAGAACGTGAGCGGGGAAGGGGCAGAAAGAGAGAGACACACAGAATCAGCAGCAGGCTCCAGGCTCTGAGCTGTCAGCACAGAGCCCAATGCGGGGCTCGAACTCACGAACCGTGAGATCATGACCCGAGCTGAAGTTGGACACTCAACCGACTGAGCCACCCAGGCACCCCAAAGCATACTATTTTAGAAAAAAAAATCTGAAATTAAGAGTATTTGACCAGGGCCACAGGATGGCCTTGAGGTTCAGGAAACCCTTACAAGAGGATACAAAATTCTGTGTGCCTGTGCATTTTTCTCAAGGGAGGGGTCACTGCCTCTATCGTACTTTTAATGGTGTGTATAATCCGAAAGACTTAATAACCATTTTTAAAGCATCATTTCTACTTTATTGATTCTCACCAAGATTTATTTTTCAGGGTTTTGGGAGTCTCCAAAGTCGTGTGATTAACAATGACATCTGACAAGGCATCCAAATTTCACCACTTCCCCTCAATTTCGTGTCGGGGATGCCAATTCTAGACAATGTTAACTCTAGACATTTAAAACAATTTTTGTTGCCTCCTCCTGAATTATATCCACTTTACTAATTCAGTGCGCAGGGCTATTTTTTAAGGGTCAGTATTTCAAAAACCATTCCATTTCACTATCTACAACATAAAACTGTAGTTTCCTTTAAAGGTTTCCTCTTACCCTTTTATTCCTTAGCGAATAACGTGGAAATGATATGAGGTACTAAGATTATATGTGGCATTAATGCAAAGCAAAAATGCTGCCTAAAGCACGTTTTATATAACTGCAAATAAAAATGCTAAAAAAAACACCTGCTGCATCTTGTATTTTAATCTCCTCTACCTTAAGCAGGAGTCCTCATTATACTCCTGAGCCTCCAACTGGATGACACGGCTGTACTCCCCAGTGGATTTCACTACCTTTCCTTCCAGTGAAATGGCCTCCTGGATGAGGGGCTCCTACACGATGTCACCTTGGAAGGGGGAGGACAGGCACGAGGGGAACGTCTCAGATGACTGGTTTCAAGTTCAAATTCTTTATAGACGGCCTGAAACTGTGGTCAGCTTTCCGCTGTAAGCAACACACAAGGTTTACTTTCTTTCCTAACTTTAACGCTGCCAGAATACACATGTACTTTTACTTTCTTAGGAGAAAATGTGTCACTTGATTTCCTTCCAGTTTATGTACTCGTGCCAACAACTAAAATGCTTAAAGAACCAAAATGAATTACTACCCAGAAACGGTGGTCAAAGTTCCAAAATTCGATCAATAAAATTGCTCATCTACTCACAAATTAATCTTCAGCCAGTAAAGTCACACGTTTTCGAGGTTATGAGCACACCTGCATCATTAAGCGTTTACTTCATTTGTTCAAGCAATCTTCAGAAGCATGTAAATATTTATAAAAGCAAGCCTACTATTTTTACCCACATACAATTTTCTTTTTCTGTAGCAAACCCTTGTTAATTCTTTGACAACTCCTAAGCATCCTGAGGGCAGGGTCTGTACCCTTGACGGTTTCGTGTGGATATAAGCATCGGCAGGGTGCCCTATGCGTGGAGGCTGATCCAGAAATGCTCACCAAATCACATCTAATAAATCCAGATCATCCTCATCCTGAATTTACCACGGGGCCAATTTTCAATTTTCATTTGTGTCATTCATTAAAAAAAAGAAAAATTGCAAGGCAGCTCAAGAGGCTAGGCTGACCAAGGGGCTATTTAGGTTACCAAGTAGAGTGTTTTTTAAGAACATCAAAAGCAGAATCTATACCAATTAATGCCTTGATTATATAAACCACACGTCGCCCAAGAATGTGGCCAGCTCAGATTTAGTTCTGTACGTGTAGCTGGAGAGAGCGTCTTCCTGAAATTAGTCCAAATTGCTGATGTTTGACTACATTTTGTGATCTCTATCGAGTAACCACTTAGAGCCTCCTCTAACTTTCCATTCTCTTTTGTTTGTTATCATCAGCCTGGGAAACTGGAGAGCACTGCCAAACATAAAGCAGAGAAGTGTGAGATATGCCTAAAATATAAGTCACAGTATATTTGGGGATTTGGGTTTCTTTTTTTTTTTTTCTTTCCCCTCAAGCAATCAGTAGATCAAATTCTTCTCCCCTGTCAAGGCTTCCTCTATGCGGAAGATCTGAAATTTGCGAAAATAGGTCTCTCAGTGTGGTTACGAAGGGTACGAACAACAGAAATGAACCCTGTTAAGATTTGTGATGGGATTTCCCTTTCATTTCAGAGCCACACTGGCTGGGGTGCCCCAGCGAGGGCATGGCATGGCAAGGTATCTCTCTGAAGGTTATTCCTTCCGTGAATCACCGAGTCTATATACGTATTTTTATAAGGAGGTAATATACCATGTGACCTAGGTTAGTAATTTCTCCTTTCTGTTTGTAGAAGGTCAGCCAACCTAATAAAGCCTGGTGGATTTGCATGACCCTACCAGGCAGCTGACAAGACGTAGTCTATGATGCACGCGCACGCACACACACACTCACACGCGCGCACAGTCAACCCACTGTTTTTTCTCCCAATCAACTCTTAAAGCTGGTCTAAATTCTATGCTTGTCAACTCTCCCACAGAGGGGTAGGAAGGGACTCAAAACATCTTATTTAGCAAAACCAGCATTCAAGATGGCCCCCTCGCCCCACACTTTTTATACAGACTGAAGTGCTCAGCAGAATGTGTTAGGTTGGTTTTGACACTGTCTTTGCCAAGAAAAATGAAGCTCTCTGTATCATACTCTTCTGGTGGCTGAAAACCTTATAACGGGCAAGAAAAAGAGCCCTCAAAAGGAAATCCCCTGAAACTTTACTTCATATATTTAGCCCTAAAGCAACTTCGTTCATCTTGGAAAAGAAGTTACCTAAAAATGCCATATGTCTTTAAAAAGCAAGTATGAGGGAATATAAGTCTAGTATAAAAAAAATTACAAATGATCTTCAATCCTGAAGAGCAGTGCATCAGGCAGACTGTGTATGTGTGTACTTTTTAAAATTATCCCTAACCAAAGCTCTACTACGTACAAGATTCCCACCTCCCCGCAATAATATATTGTCATTTTTCCAATGCACTTGAGGTCTGATAAATTCAAGAGGACTAACAGTATTTTTAAGGCTGTTAGAGCTCCAAGAGGGAGGCCAAAAGAATGGACAGTCATTTGAATCACTGAGTGACAGGCTGGGCCAGCTCCCTGTATACATTAATAAATTAGAATTTTAATTGTGTCTCTGTCTGCAGGAGATGCCCCAGCACTTTAATATGTACCAACAATTGGCTATGTTCTGGAATCTGCAATGTGGCCTCCGCAGCTGACCTCTGAAACACAATTCCCAGTCTGACTACGGAAACTGTTCAGTTTGATCCTTTCAACTTATTTGAATCCTGACAAATAAGCTCACAGCTGAAAGGTCAACACAGTCATATTTCATCCTCCAGAGCTGTTCTTAAGACATCTGCACAACAAAGCACTTCTTACAGCACCTGACATGGGACCTCAACGGCACTGCACCTCATTAAAAATATCCCCGGCATTCACACACGCGGAAAGGCCTATGGATCAGCGATGATGGTTTACCAAATCACTAACTGTTTTTGAAAGTGTTAGTCAACAGTGTACATTGCCATCCAACTGTTCCCCATAAAGTGCTACTCTATGTGCTCTAGGCAGTGACGCTTTCCCAAGTAGATGCAGAGGCAGGGCTTGTTCCCCAATGTCGGTCAGATCTTTGCAGGATCATTGGGGAAGTGTGGTCACTTCGTTCTGACCTGAGCGAAGTCAACACAAGCTAGGATTTGGGTTGACCCCATGATCAATGTCGCTGGGGCCAAATTCCACCCAGCAGCTACCATTGACAAATCCCGTCCCAAAATGTCCAGGGTGAGAAGTTCCTTTTACTTCCCGTTTCGAGCACGTCCCACTCCCAGCTGTACGAGTAGCTGAACCACAGAGAACCTGGCAGTGCCCTGTCTTGGATGTGAGCATGAACACCCTCTGTCGAATTTTTTGGAAATATCTGTCACAGTTTCCAGCTCCAAGTCGAAAATTCGAAGCAGATTTTTACGAGCCCGCTCCTACCCTGAACTACGGCTCTGCCCTCAATGGGCCTGAAACGAGAAGTTGCTAAACCAGTCTTTTTTGAAATCTTTACACACAAATTGCTTGCCAGTTTTTATGAACGATCCAGAAAACATCCACTAAAGAACAGTGTGCATTATACTGGTTACTAGGCATATTAAAAGTGCCGTATCTTCATCAGTCCTACTAACAGGTGCTTGACCCCATGACGTTTTGGGACAAACGATTCTGTGCTGTGGGCGATCTTTTCTTGGAGTACAGGACCAGTTAAGTAGCATCCCTGGCCTCTACCTACTCGAGGTCAGGAGCACCCATGCCCCCATGGGACAATAAAAAAAACTGTCTCCAGACATTGCCCTTCGTCCCCCTGGTGGGTAAAATCACACCCAGTTAAAAACCACTGCGCTAACATTACACGTATGTGTGCTGCATTTCTACCCCCATCATGAGACAATGAGGTGACCTACCTCGAGTACTAGGAACTGCTCCTTGGTGCTACCTGCTGCCTATTAAGCAACCCACATTTGTAACTACTCATCCTCTTACTACATCATCTCATTAGGAGACGCTCCTCCCAGCAACTGCGCTTTTGGTTAAGTTGACATTTCTTCCGAAATGTCATACTCTGCTGGTAAACTAAGAATGCACCTTCTGCACAAGACTTTCGTACGTGATTTGCAACTCCCAACACAATCCGCTTCTGAATTGTTTGTCAGCTCTCCCAAAGTGTATCGTGTCATTTTTTTTTTTTTTTAAAGAATTGTCACCTGAAGGGCTGGTTGTTTGTCATTCCTCTTGGGAGATTTTAATCCACTAACTTGCTGCTGCTGTTGCTGCTGAAGGAGAAGCTGTCTTGCCACTTGAAGTGCCTGGAAGGAAAAATGGAAGAAACACGTTTGTGCTGAGTACCCACCCATGTTCGGGGCTTCTTTTACATACAGGAGGACTCCGGGAAGTACACTTTAGGGTGGGATCCTGACCTTCACGATCCTGGGCAAATGCCACAGCAAAGAAAACTTACCATCAGTCTAAGTTAGAAAACTTTCCACATTTGTTTACATTTTCTTAGATTTAGTCCATTTCGCGGACCGTTCCTTAGGCATAGGAATCCACCCAAGCAGACACTATTCCTACATTAAATCTGACATAAAACTTGAACAATGAATAAGTGGGACTCTGAGGAAGGGAGGCAGGAGGCCAAGAAAGGGCCGGGCAAAAGACAGAAACTTAGGGGACAACAACGGGCTCCTTTCGGAGACAACTTTATCCTCCAATTCTTCTTGGGGGAACTTAGGAACTTAAATCAACAGTAAGACTTTGGTCGTTTCTGAGCCCAAATAAAGAGGAAAAGGTAAATGGTGAACCACGCTATGGATAAAGGTATTTGGAGAAGGGAGATCAAAGCAGGTAAGATAAACCCAGGGTGACCTGGAAAGATCATATAAGAAAAAAAACTTAGCAAATTTGACCTCTAAGTCAACTCAAAGGGTACAGTATGTACCTGTGAACAAAACTGATTTTGTCTAATACAAAATGACTCTTTTAAGCTTGTAACATGGGTCGTATTTATTTGAGAGAGAGGGAGAGGAGAGAGGGAGAGGAAGGGAGGGAGAGAGAGAGAGGGAGGGAGAGAGAGAAAGGGAGAGAAGGAAAATAGGAGAGTCCTCCCAAGTGCAGAAAATAGAGTGACCAATCTTTTTGAAAAGTTCAAATAAGAAAAGTGTCATCAATAAACCCTCCTGAGGACATTTACTGTCAAAGAATTTAACAGAAATAATAGTTAGCCACACGGTTCCAAAAAGGGCAGTAGGATCAGCAACAGAAGATTGAAGTTTCCAGACACCGTGCTAGAAAAGTTAGATTACTGGAGTCAATTTGGCTGTGAACCAAAACCGTTCATGTGCAAGATATGTCAAGAATGTTCATTAATGATGTGCTTAGAGTTTAGAGACAAAATGGGATTTCTTGGGGATTACATCAATAAACATTTCTATATAGTCACTAATTATTTGTGTCTAAATGTGTACACATAGATGTGGTCAATGTTATCAAATGGATCTGATACTCTAAGCCTTAGAAGGTGTGCATTATGGACTTATGGTGGTAGCGTGTTCCTCAAAGAGAAACCGAGACTTCATTTACATAAGAAAATAATGTATAGGGGCGCCTCGGTGGCTCAGGTGGTTAAGCGTCCAACTTCGACTCGGGTCACGATCTCGCTTTTGTGAGTTCGAGCCCTGCGTCTGGTTCTGTGCCCACAGCTTGGAGCCTGCTTCGGATTCTGTCTCTCTCTCTCTCTTTCTGCCTCTCTCCTGCTCTCTCTCTCTCTCACACAAATAAACATTAAAAAAAAAAAAAAGAAAACAATGGATATAATTCCAAGAAATGTGACCGTGAGGCCGTGAGTGGGGGAAGGGTAAGATACCATGGAGATCCCTGTGTACTGAACTCAGGGGAAAGGAAAAACAGAGTGGAGAAGAGGATTATCGTTCAGGGTTAAAAACGCTGAATCGGCAAGAATAGTACTTCTCAAAGGACAACTTCACTGAACTGAGCTCATGACTGTACTACTAAAACAAAGAGTATTTTCAGGACATTTTGTAAGGCCGAGCGGTGCCTTTGGGTCTAAACGGCGCAAAGGGAGGCAATGAGACAGACGCACCGATAAATGGGTGACCAAGAGAAGATTTGGGGAAAGACGCAACCTTCCTGTCCCACCTCCCCGCTATCCCCACCCCCTTGTCCCAGGGAGGCCTCCTGCCCCCCTTGTCCCAGGGAGGCCTCCTGCCTACCAAAGGCACCATCACCACCAGCCCCTTCAGATGTAAGGTACGGGCTGCTGCGTCTGTGAAGGGAGAGACATGTTCAAGAAAGCCTGCCTGGAAGAGCCTCCAGAAGAGAGGCTGTCTGAGAGGGGCATCTGGAAGCCAAGACGCCTGGGAGAGTTGCCCGAGACTCCAGCCTGCTGTCTCTGAGGAGGATTCACCATCACTGGACTCCGGGTTTCCTGGTCTCCTTGGAGACGCTCAGTACATGCGTAGGTGTAAAAGTGGGCAGAGTGAGGATTTCATTTATATCATATAAGAAAAATAGTCCCCTTTGCAAGGTGCCTGCAGGAGCAAAAGCCTCTCCTCCTACTACGTGTGTTCCCTTAACTATTTCACATGAGGGTTTTATAGCTTTTTAAGGTGGGAGAGAGAACCGCTCCATATTTTAAGTACTCACTTCAGAGTTCCCAGAGTAATAATGAACGAACGGATCGGCAAAGAAGGGTCTAGCTGCTAGCCGGAAAGGCAGATAGAGGAACCGCAGATGACAGTGAAGAGTGCAGAGGAAGACAGGTTGGGAAAGAGTAAAAAGGTTAGGTATACTGGATACTAAAACAGGGCAAGCAAACAAAGGCAGAGTGACAGAAACCCCACAGTCACAAATGTGTGTTAAAATTATTTACCATGTTTTGCGGAGTATCTGGAGAACAGGAGTTCAATTTTTAAAAACGCTGATTTGTTTTTGAA